TAGAAGAAACCATTTAGAATTGATTTGGGGCGGTCACGTAGTAACTCTGCTTTTCTTTTTCATGTCAGGATTTTGCTAACAGCAAACTAAATTCGTTTAATGCCACAACAAACCTGGGCTCTCTCGTTCTCACCACATACCCAGCCGACGCACTGATAAATAAGACCGCAGAGGAGCTGCCACCGGGTGTGGACCCCACCAGGAAAGAGGTAAAGAAAGGGCAATGGGATACATCAGAGTTGTTCTTCAGCCAGGCAATGGTGAATGATACCTGCGAGACCACCACTGATGACCGCCTTAGTAAATCCTGGTTGCCTGGTGGTCATGCAAATACTTTCCAGAACAGGACTAGATGGGCACATCTTCCAAAAGGAGACAAGGTCCGGGGACCATGCTGCCCACCAGGGATTTCCTCTCACTTCCTGTTGTGGCTATCAGAAAGGAAGTGAAGGGAAATCTTCCCAGTGGGAGACAGGGGCTTATAACCCACGCTTACTCTATGCAAAACTAAAACTTTGGGCTTCAGTTCTACTTTACAAAGGGGAGAGTTAAAACCCAGTTTTTTGTGTCTCCCTTTACATCCCATCCTGTAAATAAAACAAGTAACAGAAAATCTCTCCAAAGTTAAAAGGAGACCTACGAGGTGAGCGATTTACACTCATCCTTATAGTTCGAGCCGACGTGTGACATTGAAACTGTCACGTCGGCTCTACTGATCGGGATGTGAGCGAACACATACCGTCACTCACTTTCCAATTCTCTCCCTGCAGAGAGCGGTGACTCTCCGTCACCACTCCCCGCAGGGATTCTCAAACCCCCCCACTTCTCTGATCCTCCAGCGCTGACTGGAGGAACGGATGGGGAGGGGGCGGGCACAGCTGGCTCTGCCTCTAGATAGGCAGAGCCGACTGTCAGCCAGCTGGGTGGATCTCGACAGTATTGTCGGGATCCGTCCCGCCTCGCTCGCTATACACTGAGCTTTGGGGCACGGAAGGAGGTTGGTATATGTCCTCCTGTGACCCTAAAAGAGAACTATGGCATAAAAAGGTTACCCCATAGTTCTTTTTTAAGGCAAATCCCCTCTTACTTGCCACTGGAACAAGTGTCTACATTGAAGGAAATTCTGAGTTGTCACCAGAACAGAAATCAGGAAATCTTTCACTTTTAATTCTGGCGGCAGTGGGCACCAGGACATTGTGGATTTAGAGACGCTTTGCTGCATACACGTTCCAGGCTAGTAAGAGTAAAATATCAATTATATTCATAAAGAACTTAGGGGGTCTACTTATAGCAGAGATAAACTATGACCCTCCATTATACTCCACAGCCATGGTGCACAGCTTGCAGTATGCCATGGAGTCCTCTCTGTATAATGTAGCAATGAGAACGGAGGAGAGGCTGGAGGCATGAAGCACTTGGGAGCGCAATGCACATCTGTATATATTTATTTTTAAATGCACGGCCTGGCCACAATCAGGCTTTGCCAGCGCCGTATGACCGGACCCCTTACAAAGCCAGCGGCCACAAACAAACATGCAGGTTCTGACTGAATGGGCCGTGTAATTGTTTCAGGTCCGAGACTCTGCGAGGATGAGCAGTAAAACACAAGGTGCCTAAACCTGAGTTCTCTCTTTCAGGACTATCTGTCCAATGAAGACTTTCAGAGACTATTCGGAATGTCGCTTGCTGAATACAAGGGCTTACCTGAATGGAAAAAGCAAAATCTCAAGAAATCGAAAGGACTCTTCTGATCAAACTGCGGCCTTTTACGTTTTGTTTGTTTGGGTTTTTTTATTTTTAAATGTATTTGCTCCATCTAGTGCCTACGACGGGAACAATCGGTCTACAGAAGCAGAGCCTCCAGACCTGGGCCTCCAGGCAAATCTGCAGAGTTTTTACAGAAAGAAAAATAAATGTATTGTTCTAAAAAAAAAAAGCCTCCTTAATGTACACGCAGAGTGGCAGAAAAAAGGTATTTCATTCGCTAATGGGAATTTACAGCTTATGCTCAAATTTACACACAAGCCTCCGTCTTTCCTGCCTAGGTCATTTCCCATGATTTTGTTTCCCGTTTTCCTTGTTCCTGTAGTGAGAACATTGGACTCGGTGAGTACAAAATCCTGCAGTAGCCACTGGCAAGCAGACAAAATCTGTAGAGTAGGCATTGAAAAAGCAGTTGGAATAGGAAAATCTTTGTGGTCTTAAGGGGTTTAAAAGGACCCAAAGACTAGGGCCGGCACTGGTAGAAGCAACAGGCTGATCCTCTAGCTTTAAAGTGGTGCACATTGCATTGATAAGAGATGAAACTGTCTCTTAAGTTGGCAGTAATAGTAATGGATTGCGACTCTTCATAAGCAAGCTCATCAAGGACTAAAGTGACCCAAATTTAGAGTCTCAGTAGCTAAGGGGTAAGAAGCCTCCAAGGCCACAGATAAATCAGATACAGAATCTGCAGAAGGCACCAGAGTGCACTTGTGGCCTCTGCTAAATAGGACTCTGATAATGGAATAGACTCTAAGAGCAATGGGTAACAGGATTCTAGGCTGCAGCTGTGGGCACCACCGGGAGGCATGGTGCAAGCAGCCCTGAAGTGTGAGCTGGGGGAATCCTTACAGCGGGACAGATTCCAGTCTCTAGAATCAGACATGTCACGACCGCATAATCAGGTACTCACGAAACCCAGACAGCTGGTAGCAAGTAGGGGTTGGATGACCGAGGTGACCAAAGTTACTGTAGGTGGGCAGCAGGAACAGAATTCAGATTGAAGCTCCACATGTTTTTTGCAAGCAGGAGCAGCAGCAGGGAGATGCTTCCTCTACGCTGTATGGCGGAAGAGAGGGTGGAGCAAAGACGACACTGTGCCCCCGCAGAGGACATCAGCACTCGGACCCACAGCGTTAACCCCTCCTGCAGTGGAGACCGGCAGGAAAATGGCCCCAGCGATCTTTATACATGAGATAGCTCGCAGTGCTCAGCCCAACTAGCTCTTTCACAAAGTGAGTCTTCAATGACAGGGCAAGTACTTACGCAATGTGCTAGTGCAGGGGTAGCCAAACTCCGGCCCTCCAGCTGTGGTGGAACTACAAAATCCCATGAGGCATTGCAAGACTCTCAAAGCCACGACTCCCAGAGTGAGATGCATCATGGGATTTGTAGTTTCATCACAGCTGGAGGGCCGGAGCTTGGCTACCCCTGAGCTAATGGCTCTGGACCTGGTAAGCTCTCCACGGCTAACTTTACCAGAATGGAATCTGAGTAGCACCCTACACAGAACCCAGTGCCCGAAGGTCTCTTCCAGGCAATCCCTGCCACATCCAGTCCAGCGGGGCAAGGACATGGCACTCCAAAAGCCAGAATGAGGATGGTTATGCTGGAGAGCGGTGTTGAGGAGAGGCAACGTCTAGAGTGATGTAGAGAGAAGTCTTTACTAAAGAAAAAGGTGGTAGCAATAATAGGCGAGTCTTCCATATAGCAAAGCTGAAGATGTTCATCCTTCTAGTGCAGTGGGGGTGGAATGACGATTTGCCAGGGGTCGCCCGCTATTGGATAGCGGCTCCCTGCTGCCTGGGCAAGAAACACTTTCTCCCGGGAAAGGTATGTTGTTTTTTTTTTATTCTGATGGCGTACGCCAGTGGTTCTCAACCTGTGGGTCGCTGTGTGATTTCTGCTGTGCTAGGTGAGAGTCCTCCTCAGCCGTCTCCTAGCGCAGCAGTGTCAGTTCTCCCGCCATGCCGCTGCAGCGCCATCCCTAAATTTTACCGTTGGGGGTCACCACAACTTGGCAAATGTTACCTAGAAAGGTTGAGAACCACTGTTCTAGGGCCTTGCAGAAAAATTGAGGCGTGCTGGTAGTAGAAGGGGATATCCTGAGTTAGATTTACTGTATCCGCCCCCCCAATGGATGAGAAAGATTTCACGACCGCCATCTAGGGATTGACTTTCACACTGCAATACAAAACTGACCGGCAAGTTTCGCAGGCCCAAAAAGGTAAAAAAACGCAAACCATAGCCAAATCTAGCACCTCTGAACCCTCGGAAGCATAAACAGTAGATGAAGTGCAGTAATGAACCGTTTTATAATTCTGTGTTTAAAAAAAAAAAACGAACATAAAAACAAGGCCTAAAACAGTTAAATATGATATAATATGTACATCAAAAAACAAAATACATCTCATTCAAAACAAAACCCAAAGAAAGAACGTAACCCACATTTTTTTTTTTACGAATTGCATTGCGGAAGAAGCTGCTACATGAACAAGCCAAACGTTTTTCAGCCTGCTGGACAACAGACGATGCGGAAGTCGCAGTCTGAATGTATCCCTGCTAGTGACACACAAACTCATGAACGATCACACAAAAGAACCGACAAAATCCATAAAACTATGAGAAACGCACAAATACTGAAGAACTGAAAAGGTCAAACAATGGCCAGAGTTGTGAAGTACAAACACGCACATAGATAGAAAGGGTTAAAAACATGGCCACCGTTCTGACCCTCCCAAGAGTGATGATTGTCAATTACGTCTGGCTGTCATGTAGCTGCCACTTACAGGGTTTGGTAGAGTTCGATGTTCAGCCAGTGTTCATGTTTTGTTGAGGCCAGGGTCACACCTAGGCGATTTGTCGCGCAAAAAACAGATTCACATTGAAGTCAATGGAGTCTGTTCACACCTTTGCCCTTTGTCGCCCGGCCGAAAACGCCTGACTTGCGAAAAGGTGAAGGAGCGATTTTTCGGGCGGTTGTCGAGCGGTTTTGGTCCCATAGACATCTTTATGCATTGAAAATGCATTAAATAAAGTCGCACGATCGAAACCGCGCAGCGTCTGAATGGCCTAGGTGTGAACCTACCCTAAATTAGGGAGGCTTTCAGCTAAGAGGGGGGACTACAAGTCTCAGTATGCGTGGAAATCACAGGTGGCATAACATACCAGGGCTTGTACTTTCTTCTCATCTCTAGGGCTGCCAATTGTACAGCAATAAACACCCATATAACCTGTGGGCACCTACTTCAGCTCTGATTCAAGTGCACCTGTACTCCATTTTAAAAATCCTTCCGCAAGAGCAGATACCTTAAGATGCCCGATATCACCTTTAATAGCCAGAAATCCCTCTGTTGGTGCCCAAAGTTTGTTCACCTTTCTTAGCAGGACCATAGACCTAGTGGCCAAGCACCGCCACCTGCCAGCCTCTTAAAGTGAGAGCCCCCTTATAGCCCAACTAAAGTCTCACCTACTCTTCATAATACTCTACCACTGTATGTTATTTTTTTATTTTATTATAGAAATGCCTTTAAAATACCTTTTTTTTTTCCTTGGTGGAAATGTACTTCCTGTGCCAAGTCCTCACACATGCACTTGCAATCCAGCGAGCCCTGGTGAGGAGGGGTAGTGGGTTTGACCAGGACAGTTAGGCTTCAGCTACACTGGGCTGGCATGGTTAAACTTTGGCGCTTATAGGACACACTGCATAACTTCTAGTATAGGGAAATGTAGACTATTAACCTGCTAACACAACATCTGACAGAATATCTAGTTCTGTGGCTTCAGCAACTGAGGACAGTGGAAAGGCCACAGATGGAATGTAACCAGGAAGGCTGGACCCCAGTAACTACCGTGTTTCCCCGAAAGTAAGACATCCCCCGAAAATAAGACCTAGCGCTATCTTCGGGGATGTCTGTAATATAAGACCTACCCCGAACTAGGTCTTATTTTCGGGGTAGGTCTTATATTACAGACATCCCCGAAGATAGCGCTAGGTCTTATTTTCGGGGTAGGTCTTATATTACAGACATCCCCGAAGATAGCGCTAGGTCTTATTTTCGGGGTAGGTCTTATATTACAGACATCCCCGAAGATAGCGCTAGGTCTTATTTTCGGGGTAGGTCTTATATTACAGACATCCCCGAAGATAGCGCTAGGTCTTATTTTCGGGGTAGGTCTTATATTACAGACATCCCCGAAGATAGCGCTAGGTCTTATTTTCGGGGTAGGTCTTATATTACAGACATCCCCGAAGATAGCGCTAGGTCTTATTTTCGGGGAAACACGGTATGTGAAACTAAATCAGAGAGGGGCACAGAAGAGGTTTTCTGGCCATTATAGACAATGGCAGAAATCTGAGGTGTGTCTGTTCTTGGCCAGGACCTTTAATAATGAAAAGATTAAAATAGGAGTACAGCTTATGAAGGGAATTCAATGAAAACTTGCAGTTCTAAAAGCAGCCACACATGGGCAAACCTTTGACAGACAGGCAGTGAGAAAGTTACGCATCTTTTCTTGAACTGCTGCACCTCTGTGATTATTCTTCCCCGACTCATCTACATAGGTGGTGTGAAGGCAAATTGCCCCCCCCAACCTTTACATAGGAACGGGCATACTCCATGATCAATGGGGAACAGATTTAAGCATTCTATAAAGTCTCTGCATGCCATTGGGCGAGCTTGTTTTTGCTCTCTAGCTATGGCTGATCTTGGGACACACACCATTGAAATACATACACGTGAAAACGTTTCACCTGGCAAAGGATTCTATTGAGATGAACTTTGGATTGACTCAATACAAAATCATCTGCACTCCATACAGCGTCCAGCAGACCTTGTTGAAAGGTTGGCGCTCGAAGTGACAACACGGATGGGGCCATGTCGTCACTATGTCGCCCAAACGAAGGGACCCTGCAAGGTCCCAAAACATTGGCTATATGACAATAAAAAGTGCTTTAATTCTTGCACATATCGAGTGCTGGTGACTTCTATTGTGAACTTTTGATTGACACACCAGTCACACTGCACAGACAAGCACCTCCCATCTTCCTCACTGGATAGTAAATCAACCTCATCCACTCGGTCCCATAAACAGGGAGGTGACACAGGAAACAATGATTTCTCTGGCTATGCAGTGTGTCCGAGCTTAGTAAATCTCAATTCCTCTGGCAGGTATTCAGTTCACATACACATTTCTAGTGTGCATTTAGCCTGTTGCCTGGATTTCTACTTTCATCTATATGCATCTACCCCAATAATCAATGGCTGCCAAATCATTGAGCTAAGGAACATGCACAGTAACATTCAAAACTAAACTCTGGGATCGAGAAATCTTTAACCCTTCAACCCTTGCAGTTGGTCCCCCTTCCCTGCTGCAATGGTTCACGTCGCATTCTGCTTAGATGATGAATATGGGAATATACTCACTTTATTCCACACTGCCACAGGCTTTCTCCTCTTCTTGTAACTGGTCCCCCAAAGCCTTATCCCTTCGCTGCCTAAGCAGTCATATCTCTGACATCCAACAGCCCTGTGTTATACAGGACACTGCCAAGGACCTGCTCAAAACTCAGGACCTCAAAACAGCACCATCGGCCATGGAAGCGAGGAATAAAGCAAGTAGATTCCCCTATTCATCATCCCCTAGGCAAGAAAACAGTTAACCCTTTCAGGAAGGAGGGACCCACCACAAGGGTAAGGATTAATTATCCCTCGAGTTCAGCTTTAATGTCAGGACTGAGGCAATATTCTCCTAGAACTATTAAATGCGTTTTAGCAAACTTGTAAATAACAAACCATCTCTTGCTTGTTACCGAATGCACAAAGTTTAAGGCTTGCTTCCATGAACTTTCATTGATTCCAGATGCATCTGCCATGTTCTCCCTAGTCACTGTATAATGAACAGAACTCACTGAATGATTGAACAGAACATAAACCCTGGCAGGATACCCATCCACACAGGCATTTAAAAAAAAATTGCAAGGCCTCAATTATTAACATGTATCAGAAACTTCAGCCTCACAAAATATTGAAATCCACTAACAAAGGTCTGAATCTGTATGATGGCAATGAAGAAGCACACATCGTTCCTATAAAAAGACACTTTAAAGCTCAACTCCAGGCAAATTTTTTTCCCTTTGCCTTTGGATAGACTTGGGAAGGGTAAGTACGTATGCCAAACTTCTAATGCTGACCCCGGGCAGCGCTTGTCATTTGGGACAGAAAGATACAGACAGTAAGGCCTCATTTACATGAGAAAAAGGCTCCAAGCTGTGTGCGCGGCCGTATCAGGCACCTCCGGGAAGGATAGGTGTTGCGTACGATTAGTATGCAGCCCCCGTCCTTCTCTATGGCAGTATGCGGCCATACGCCCCCTTACGCTCACCTCAAGTGCAGGTCCGTACGGGTGTGGGTGTCCTGGCTCGTACGCAGACAGGATCCATTCTGTCAGCATACAAGTACACTCACCCACACGGACGTGAAGGGCGGGTGAGCGTACGGCTGCGTACTCCCATAGAGAAGGACAGGGGCGGCGGACTAAAAAAAAAAAAAAAAAAAAAAAAAAAAAAACAACCACCCCCCCCCCCCCACCTGCCAGGTTTAAACCTTTCCGAAGTTGTTTGTTGCAGTCTGTAACCGCTCATTAGACACTTTCCACCACTTCCTGTGCAGACAGGAAGGGGAAAATCTACACAATGGGAGTCACAGACCACAGTAAAGACCATACAGGGGTTCAATTCCTTCTCCACTTTGTCCAAAACTCAAAAAAAAAATAAAGTTCTGGCTTGACTCGGGCTTTAAACACAAGAGGCCCAAAAAGAGCAGTTTACACTTTCATAAATCTCTGCTTTCATCTTATTGCTCTGAACACTCAGAAGAAAAAACAAAACATTCACATGTAGTTTTGCTGTTAACAGTGCCTACTATAAACCATACCAAAAAGATAGATTTTTGTGATAGAAATATTTTTCTTCAAAAATGAAAAGACACGACTGCCTTAACGCCAGTGCTAGCAGATCTTCTGGGATACGAAAAACAAACCGCTGTCTGTCCACAAAACTGGGGCAGCCTGCCTTGACTGCAGCAGTATAGTGTCATGAGGTTGCCCACTGATGCAATAATGCTGAAGCCATTGGGACATCCAAGTCTTATTGCTGAAAGGAAGGGCCCAGGGATACATAGATCACAAGCAGTTTGCAGACGTGTCACGATCCCCGGCTCTCAAGGTGGCGCTCCAGCTATAGGAAAAGTAGCATTGGGATTTTTAAATGCGCTTTTCTTTTTTTTCCCCCCCTTGTCTTTGGGCTGTGCGCACCTCAGATCGCAGTCCAGTGCAAATGTACAGTCCTCTACTTCAGAGTCGTCACAGAGGTCTGGATGACCTGTTTGCTTCAGCCGTTGTAACCTGCGCCTTTTTCTCCTCTTCAACACCTTCATCAAAAATGTCTCT